GCAGAACTGGGGATTGAACTCAGGCCCTTTCGCTTGCCAGGGAAGTGCTTATTCCACTCAGCCATCTCACCAGCCCCCGGCAACTATTTTCAAAGGAAAGTCTTAGGTCCCGACATGCTGGCCCTTATAAGACTGACTCCACTCTTCCAAGGGAAATCTTCCTAATTTTCACAGTACTCCACATGTTTAGTCAACATGGCTCAGTGCTCCCTTCCTTTCTCCTGTCACTTCTGCCTTCTCTTTGTTTTGTACATCAATCCCACCCAAGCTTCTGGTTCTGGCTCCATGTCACCTTTCCAGGTCCTCCACGTGGTGGGTACTCCTGGTCCTTCCAATCATCTTCCAAAGCCTGGCCTTACCCATGGTGGCCAGTCAGGCCTCCCACTCAGCACCATCCTAGACTGGAATGCTGCAGAGGGCAGGGGACACACCAGCCCTCATCCCTCTGTGTGAGGACAGCATAATCACTCACACTGGGCATCACCAGGAGATACCGTGCCAGCCTTTCAGCCTGACCCTGGGGGCAGCATGGAGGGCTCCATAGAGGCTCATGTTCCTTAGTCACTCATCCATCCTTTCAGCCAATATCACTGTGCCTTCCGCACAATGATAAGGTGAGTAACACACTTGGGTCCCATACTGCAGGGGAAAGTACGACGCAGTACTAATGATGCAGTGAGGGTCAGAGAAGCAAGAAGGCAATGGGACTGTGTGACAGAGGGGCTGGCTCCACAGGGCTCAGGGTGCGGGGCACCATTGTGGATACAGAAGGACAAAGGGGATGAGTCTCTGCTGCCTTCTCCAAAGGCAAAGCAAGGTGCCTAAAGGGCACATGCCTAAAAGGTACATGCTCCACGCTGCTCTTCTACTCCCTGCCCTGTGACAGCTGGCTCAGAGCCTGCATCACACACCAGGCTAACAGGGCTGTCTGCACCAAAGGATTGGAGGGACAGCGGTGCGAAAGACGGAGAGCTCAGTGAAGCCCTCTCCAAACACAGGGATTACTGCTGTCATCATTACTGCGCAGCTCACAGGAGGCCAGAGGATTCCAGGCTGCCCCAGCCGAGTCTGGCTAAGCTGAACAATAATCCTGCTTCACAATTAGCCCTGATCTGAAGGGGAGGTGAAACCGGTGTGTGCCAAGTTATCGCAGCTGCCAGGTAGTGCAGACCAGGGATGGGAGGATGCAAGGAGCTACATCCTGGGGTCCTGTGGCCCAGGGTGTGGGAGAGAAGGAAGCTGTATGGTAGCAAGATGGAGGGGAAGGCAGTAGCTGCGGATGTGGCTGTGGACAGCTGGGCACAGGAAGGTGACAAAGAACAGCCCAAGTTCCAGAGAACACCTTCTCCCCGCTGGCCCCCTCCCAAGCTGTTCCAGAGAATTAGTGAAATGGTTTCCAGTGATGGATGCAGCAATGCTCTGACATTTACAGGCCACCAGGTCTCTTCCGGGCCAGCTGGGCATTTAAAAGCCTCTGTAAACACCACCCCGCGAAGGGAAGGAGCCAACCACAGACAGGAAACCCCAGAGGTGTGAAAATACCCTAGTCACTTCTCAGCAGGAAGGAGCCGGGGTGAGTCAAGCTGAGATTAAGGCCTCAGCCTAGCCCCAGGGCCCAGGGGTCTAAGGGAATCAAGGGTTACCCCAGGCACCTGCAAGGCAGGAGCCAGCTGCAGAAAGCTTTCTACTGTCCCTCAGGCCCTGCTAACCTGCTTACCGTTCTGGGCTTTTTCTTTTTCTGTTGTGCAGACCCTTGTCTTCCTACCACAACACTGGGGATGCACAGGCTGCCCTGACCACGCAGTCTAAATGAGCCATGCCCACACCTACTGTACCCCTCTCTTCTCCCAGACCCCAGCCCAGGCCATCAACGCTGTGAGAAGGCTGCCTCTTTTTTTTTTAAGACTGCCTCTTTGCGCTGAGGCTACCTCTGTCACAGGACTTCCTCTGGCCACCCTGGAGGCCAACTGCTCTCCTCTAGCTCTTGTCTTCTCTCCCTGTTCTCTCTTCTGTTTGACAACCTAGATAATCTAATGATTTGTTGACAGTCTCCTCCTCTAGAATGTCACTTCATGACAGGATTATCAGTTTTGTTCACTGCCATATCAACAGCATCTAGGAAAGTGCCTGGTACACAGTAAATGTTTGATGAATGAATGAATAAGAGTATATAAATCTTAAAGAGTGGGATTCTATTTTTTTTTGGGGGGGGTGTACTGGGGATTGAACTCATGACCTTGGACTTGCCAGGCAAGCACTTATTCTACTGAGCTATCTTCCCAGCCCGAAGAGCAGGGATTCTAGCCAGACTGCCTGGAGCTTCATCCCAACTCTTCCACTTACTGTGTGATCTTGGATCATTTACTTAATGTCTCTGTGCCCCAATTAAATTGATCAGTAAAAGGGGACAACAGCAGTACCTACCTCGTAGGATTGGTGAGGAATTCAATAAGATCAAGATACAGGGCGCCTGGGAGATAGCTCAGTAGAATAAGCGCTTGCCTGGCAAGTACAAGGGCCTGAGTTCAATTCCTGCTTCCAAAAAAAAAAAAAAAAAAAAAAAAAAGATCAAGATACAGAGAGCTTTAAACGGTGCCTGGCTCCTAGGAAGCACTCAGTTCTATGCTGGCTGTCAGCACAGCCCTCACTACTAGCATTTCTTGCATATTTATATGGTCCTTTGTTTATCATCTGCCCCTCTACGCCAGTGTCAGCTCCAGCCTATGCCTGTCTCTAGCACAGTGTAGGAAGAGGAAATCAGGCCTCCTCCCAACTCTGGAAGCAGGGAGCCTTGGAGACAGCTTCAGCTGGGAGTAGAAGCCTCACCGATCTGTTTCTCCAGGGCAGCTGCTTCACAGACTGTGGCCCGGGGAAGGATCCCCGGGTCGGTGAAACTTGTCTGCAGCAGGCAGCTCATGACAAAGAAGAAGAGGATGGCAGCGATGATGGGGATGGCGAGGGTCAGCTTGTTGGCCAGGTAGGGACAGCTAGAAGGAGAGATAGAGAAAGAGCAATTAACATATATCCCAAAGGCTTCCAGGCCTCTCCCCACATAGTCAAGCTGCTTCCCCATAAGGGCAGCTGCACCCCCCCCCACCCACCCCCACCCTGTCAGACATCACTAATTGATTCTTATGCACACATACCCCTAGGCCAAGGCAGATGTGACCAACAGATCCCAGCACACTCAGTCTGTCTCCGTCTCTCTGTGTCTTGTTCTTTCTTTCATTTGATGATCCTCCTGCCTCAGCCTCCCAAGTGCTAGGATTATAGGTCTGCACCACCATGCCTGACAGCAGGACTCTTTCTCTTTTTTGGTAATGGGAAGTGAACTCAGGACCTTGTCCTTGCCAGGCAGGCACTGTACTGCTGAGCTATAACCCTGGCCTATTCTTTCTTTCTTTCTTTTTTTAAATTTTTATTTATTTATTTATTTATTTATTTATTTATTTATTTATTTATTGTGTGTGTGTGTGTATGTGTGTGTGTGTGTGTGTGTGTGGCCAGCTCAGCCCACCAGGGGGCGGGGCTGGCTGGCATGTGGTGCTGGGGGATTGAACTGCCATCCCTGCGCTTTGCTTTGCTTAGCTTAGTTTGTTCTAAGTAGGTGCTTTAGACCACTGAGCCATCTCACCAGCCCTATTCTTTCTTTTTAAGAGACACTTTCAGGGTTTCATTTTGCTATGTTGCCCAGACTGGCTCCAAACTCCTAGGTTCAAGCAATGCTGCCTCCTCAGTCTCCTGAACAGATGAGTCTACAGCAGCATCCCTGCTCCAGCTTTGACCCCAGCGCTTAGCTGTAGCCTCCAAACCCCTTTCAGCCCAGAGCTCCAGGCAGCCACCAGCAATGATGAGGATGTCACTTGAAGTGAGCAATGCAGATCAAGTCATTCATTCAGTCACTCACTCCACAAATATTTTACTGAGTTCTCTTCTGTGCCAGGCAGCCCTTCAACAAGTGGCAGAAATAATGGCCACAAATAGGACAAGTGTCCCTCCCCAGGTGTCTTTCAGCCTGCTGGGAAGAGAGACCTATAAACAGGGAATTGCTACTCAGGGATGTAGCACCAGGATGTGTGCTTTCTTTCCCAGGGGAAGGGAAGACAGGAGAGGAAAGGTTCCTTGATAACACAGAATAAGCAGAGGGGTAAGTTCAGCCATAGTACTGTCACCTGGGGGATGTAACCTTAGGGGGGTCTGTTGGGGCCTCTGGCCCAAGTTGGTTCAGGGAACAACTAGGCCTCATCTCCCCCAGACAGGCTGCCTCGCACAGGGCTCTGCGTCCTCTTCAAGCCCCCTCCTCCATCTCAAGGCCAGAACATTCTACACATTCTAAACACAATAGGGGCATGGCTTAGAGATGGAATAAAGCCACCAAGGCCCCCTACGGCCAGTCTTCTCTGTTGTCACTCCACTGTCCATCCAGAGGCCAGGGGCGTGTTTTGGAAATGTAAATCAGGTCCTGGCTTGATACTCTTAAAAAGCTTGATATGTTTGGGGGACTTCTGTTTTGTTTTGCTATACTGGGGACTGATGTAGGGGTGCTCTACTAAGCTACATCTCCAACCCTGTTTATTTACTTACTTACTTGCCTATTTGTTTGTCTAGTGAACCCAGAGGTCTGAACCCAGGGGTCTTTGCAGAGAGCTACTTCCTGGACCCTTTTTTAGTTTTTCATTTTTAGACACAGTCCCCTAAGTCACTATATTTCCCAAACTGGGACAGCACTTACAACCCTCCTACCTCAGCCTCTCAGAAGGCTGGGATTCCAGGTATGTGCCACCATGATCCATTTCCAGCCCTTTGATTTTGAAACAGGATCTCACTAAGTTGTCAAGGCTGGCATCAAATTTGCCATCCTCTTGCCTCCAAAACTGCTGGGATCACAGGAATGAACTAATAAGCTCAGTCTCATTAAATTTTGAATAAAACTCAAACTCCATACCATACCTTCTAGGTCAGGCATGATCTGGACCCTGCTGAAGGTTTCTCCAGTCTTATTCCATGGAACTCTTGTCCCCTCTACTCCCTTTTCAATAGCTTCAAGACAGGTTCCAGAGCAAACCTGACTCTTGCACCTCAGGGCCTTTGCACTTGCTGTTCCTTTTCTCTGGAATATTCATCCTTCCTTAGAAGAGCCTTCTCTGACAACTCTCCATATACAGACTTCCCTAATACTCTACTTCATGCATGGCATTTATTAAAACATAAGTTGCTGATATGTTGGGTGCTTTTCCCTACAAGGGCATGAGTTCCTCTGAGGGTAGCGACTGTACCTCCTCATTCACCCTGTTTCCAGCACACAGCAAGAGACCACCCGGACCAGGAGGGTACCCAGTGAATATGAAAAACGGATGAACTATGTTCCCTCCTGCCAGAGCACAGAGCATAACTACCATCCTTTAAAGGTTTACCATGTGCCAGATACTGCTGTCATCCCCCAGTTATTATCAACAACATCTGAACTACAGATGGTTACCATGTGCCAGCTTTTACACTCCCCAAGTCACACGCACATTCTCGTCATCCCCTTACCACAACCCTCTGAAATGCTGTCCCTCAGTTTACAAATGAGAAGACAAAAACTCAGAGAGCTTAAGCAACCTGCCCAAAGTCACATAGCTCAGGAGTGCTGAAGTGGGACTCAAGCTAGGTCTGATTTTGAGGCCCATTAAATATTTTAACTACTGTCCTTTCTAACCTTCCTCCTGGATCCAGAGCGGACCTGATGGGCTGGGAGCTGCTGTTTGTCTGGTGGGAAGACTGAGACAGCCAAGATTCCAGGAGCCAGCTCAGAAGCAGGCAGCAAATCCAACCTCCATCTTCAGATGCTCTGGCCTCGAGAGAGGCTCCCCGTCCCCAAAGAGCAGGAACAGCCAAGGCCCATGCCACCCAGTGAACCACACTCGGCTCCACAAATCTCCCTGGTCCTAGGTCTGACCTTCAAGTAGAACCAGCCCAGTCATGTGTCCCACAGGTCAACTAACTCATCCAGTTCATGTACAACCAGACAGCTTAGTCAGGCATGGTGGCGAATGTTTGTAACCCCAGCACTGAGTGATTGAGACAGTCATGAGTTCGAGGACAGCCTGGGCCACCTAGCAAGTTCGCAGCTGGCTGCAACTATAGCTAGAGACCCTATTTCAAAACAGTGAGAACAAAACAAACAAATCCGGCATGATAACACACGACTATAATCCCAGCACTTGGGAGGCTGAGGCAGGAGGATGTTGTGAGTTCAAGACCAGACTGGACTACAAAGTGAGCTCAAGGACAGCCTGAATTGCATAGCAAGACCCTGTCTCAAAAAGACAGCAACAAGAAGACAAACAAGCAAACAAAAGCAAACAGAGTTCTTTTGAGGATGGAGAAGACTTGAAATCTGAGACTTAAAGGACTTTCAGGGAATGCCAACCCTTAGCTTCCTGATTTTCCTGAGGGGGCCTCCAGGGCCCACTATTAGCCTGAAGATCACTACCTAGCCAATGACAGACCAGGGTCTCTGAGGTCCCAGCAAGTGATCTGTCCATTCATTCAATGAGCACCTGCTGTAACAAGCACCTACCACATACCAGGAACTGGTTCCAGGCACTAAGGATACAACAGTGAGAATACCCTGCTCTCTTGCATAGAGACAGGCAAGAAACTATCAAAAAACATAGATATGGTGCAGACAAACAGGAAGAGTAGGGCATAAGGCTACCAGAACACAGAATATTTAAAACAGTGCAAAGGCCCTGCGGTAGGAGTGCTCAGTAGCCTGATAAACCTGGAGAGGAATGTGCAGCGGTGGACTTGGGGCTGACACAGAGGGATCAGGGCCACAGGAAGCCCACTTTCAGAGTCTAGCTCTGGAGACTGGTGAGGTCTAGGATCTGACTAGAATTAAAGGGATATGCTGGCTGCTGTAGGGATGGTAAGTATGAAAGAAGCCCAGTACAATAATCCACCTGGGAGGCCTGTACAATAATCCACCAAACTAACAAGGAAGCAGGAAAGGACTTGTACCATCTCTCATCCTGGTCACCAGTAGGGGCACTTTCAACATTCCAAGTCCTCACTGGGCTTTAGCAACAGTCTGGACCCAGGGGAACTCTGGGCCCCAACCAAACCCTACTACAAAATCGACCACCCAGGTGAGGACAAGCAGTGACAAAAACCGAAATGATTCATAAGCTCTCACTTTACTTCTTCCCTGGACAGGGACAAATCAGTCACCAGTAAGGCCAGAGAAGGTCCAGCTTCTGAACTGATCAAATCTCACACTGCAGGGTCACAGGGCCAACCACAGCAAGCACTGCTTCCTCCTGTACCAGCCACAGCCCCAGAGGTGGGTGGGGCTCTGTAAAAGCTGCTTCTACAACATGGCCCTGGTGGCTCGCTGGGCCAGCTGGATCTGAAACTCTGCCTAGGGGTCATGCTATGGGCTGTGGGCACGAGAGCTTCTGCTTGCAAATCATCCCTGAACTTTTCATACACCATGACTCAGAAAGAGAAGAGTAGTGGAAGGGTGAAAAGGAGAAGCAAATTTATGAGAAGTCTTCACCTTGCTTCAAGAGGAAACCCAAGATTGCGAACACATGCTCTGGCACCTGGGAGCTGGTGTCTCTGTGGCATCTCACCATGGACACAGGCCCTTGGGAAGTGGTTTTTGGTGAACACAACAAGTAGAACAGCAAAACTGTTAAGCACTTAAAAGTGTGCATGTGTGGCCTCATACTAACCCTCATGATGGCTGAAGTGGGTGGGCATTACTAAAGGCTCTGGTTTACAGATGAAGAAACTGGGGCCCTGAGAAGTAAAGTAACTGCCCAGAGGTCACACAGTGAGTGGGTGGTGGAGCTGGTCTGCTGACTCTAGAGAAGGAACTCTCGACTGCATAATAGAGGAAGGTGACTACAAGGGATGGGGAAAGAGAGGAGGGGAAAGTGCACACCCAGGGTGGGTGTGCATGTGAAGGTGGGGATGTGAGCCCATGTGAGCCAAGGATGGGTGGGCAGCAGGTGGCTCCAGTGCGGCGAGGGGGATGAGGGGTTGAAAACTTCCGATGCATCTCTGTGGTCCCGATAAGCAAAATGATAAGCATCTATAATCCCTGGTCACTGGGAAAGTGAAGAGGACAAAAATCCATAGGGGCAAATAGGACCTGCCATTACGAAAGCATGTACAGTGAAAAATCACAAGGCACCACAGCTGTTTGTGTAGTGCACTTGAGGGGTGCTGCCCAAACGTTAAGAAGGGAAAGAAAGGAAGGGGGTGGGGCTAAAGGCTGAGGGAAGGCCGGGAAACTCAGGAGAAACTAAGGAAGGTGCCGCAGAAAGAAAAGAGGCCCCAGGCCCAAAGACCTTGGGGTAGGATGTCCTGGGACTCAGGGGAGCGTGACTGCGGGAAAGTGGGTTCCTGAAAGGTGATGGGACCCCGGGGATACCTGGAAAAGGCAAAGAGACGCCCAGGAATTCACTGTGGGATGTGCAAAGCCAGAAATTCAGAAGCTGCCTGGAAGGGATAAGAGCGAAGATGCCTTAAGGGGTCAGACAGAGCTTGGGGGGAGGGGGATGGTCCAGAGGGGGAGAGCAGAGGGGTCTAAGGAGCGTGGGGCAGGAGTACGATGGGGGACTGTTCCTGGGAGAGTAGGGGTCGGTCATGCGGGGCACCAGAGGGTAGTGTCCCGCTGAGCCCGGCAAGGACAGGAAGGCTGGGGTCCAGGGCAGTGCGGGCCAGGTCGGGGATGCTGGGAGGGGTGGAGGGGACCAAGGCGAGCAGACAAGAGACGGCAAGGAAACGGGCGGGCCGGGCTGGGGGTGCCCGGGGCAGCGGGGTGTGGGACGCGCGCGGCGGCCGCGAACTCACTCGAAGACGAAGAAGAGGATGGTGGTGCTGAGGATGAGCAGCAGCGTGAGCGCGAAGACACCGCCGTGACCCGCCAGCATGAGGCGGCCGCCGCAGTAGAAGCGGTTGCGGCCCGGGAACACCTCCCACTTGCGCCGCGGGCGGCGGCCCAGGCTCCCGCTCCCGCTGCCGCTGCCGCTGCCGCTCCAGCGCGGGGCGGAGGGCG